GTTATTGTTCTTTTTTTAAAATATATTTTATTGATTATGCCATTACAGTTATCCTATTCCCCCCCTTCATTCCCCTCCACCCTGCACACCCTCTCCCACCAACATTCCCCCCCTTTAGTTTATGACCATGTGTCTCAAGTTCTTTAGATTCTATATTTCCCCTACTAATCTTGCCCTCCCTGCCATGTATTTTCTACCTACTGTCTATGCTACTTATTCTCTGTACCTTCTCCCCCCTTCTCCTCCTCCCACTCCCCTGTGGCTAACCCTCCACGTGACCTTCATTTCTATGGTTCCACTCCTGATCTAGCTGTCCTCTTAGTGTGCTTTTGTTTTAGGTGTGGTTGTTAATAACTGTGAGTTTGCTGTCCTTTCACCGTTCATCTTTTTTATCTTCTTTTTCTTAGATAAGTCCCTTTAACATTTCATATAATAAGGGCTTGGTGATGATGAACTCCTTGAATTTGATCTTATCTGAGAAGCACTTTATCTGCCCTTCCATTCTAAATGAAAGCTTTGCTGGATAGAGCAATCTTGGATGTAGGTCTTTGGTTTTCAATGACTTGGAATACTTCTTTCCAGCCCCTTCTTGCCTGTAAGATCTCTTTTGAAAAATCAGCTGACAGTCTGATGGGAACTCCTTTGTAGGTGACTGTCCCCTTAGCTCTTGCTGCTTCTAGGATTCTCTCCTTCATTTTAATCTTGGCTAATATAATTATGATGTGCCTTAGTGTGTTCCTCCTTGGGTCCAACTTCTTTGGGACTCTCTAAGCTTCCTGGACTTCCCAGAAGTCTATTTCCTTTGCCAGATTGGGGAAGTTCTCCTTTATTATTTGTTCAAAGAAGTTTTCCACTTGCTCTTTCTCTTCCCTTCTGGTACCCCTATAATTCGGATGTTGGAATGTTTAAAGATGTCCTGAAGGTTCCTAAGCCTCTCCTCATTTTTTTTGAATTCTTGTTTCTTCATATTTTTCTGTTTGGTCATTTTTTTTCCTCCTTCTGGTCCACTCCCTTGATCTGAGTGCCAGTTTCCTTTCCATCACTATTGGTTTCCTGTGCATTTCCCTTCATTTCACTTAGTTTAGCCTTCATATGTTCCTCTAATTTGTGACTAAAATCAACCAGTTCTGTGAGCATCCTGATCACCAGTGTTTTGAACTGTGCATCTGATAGGTTGGCTATTTCTTGGTTGCTTACAGTTATTGGCTCTGGGGCTTTGAGTTCTTCTTGAGCCATGTTTTTGTCTGTTCGCACCTGTTATGTATGAGGGGGAGCCTTAGGTGTTCACCAGGGCGGGGTGACCCAGTCACTGGGTTGTGACACTGTCTGTGGGGGTGGGGTCAAAGAGGGGCAATGGCGGTCCCTTCTGCTGCTTCCTGCCGCTGGGGCCTGCATAGTCTGTCTTGCTGCTCTCTCCTTTGCTGCTTTATCGGTCTGGCTGAACGGTTCGTTTTTGTCAGACTTCCATATAGTTCAATTCTCTGTGTTTTGGCTGCATTTTTGTTACTAAGACTTTGTTGTTTTTAAACTTGGTTGTGCGAGAAGGCACAGTGTTTCCACCTACGCATCCATCTTGGTGGAAGTCCTGTTTCGTTATTGTTCTTAATCAATTTATTTTTAAGAGCAACTTTAAGTTCACAGCAATACTGAGAAGGTACAGAGATTTCCCATATGCCCCTTGATCCCACACACACAGCCTCCTCCATTATCAACAGCGGCCCCCGCCATGGGAGTGGTACATTTTGTTACAAGAACCTACTAGGGTTTCTTTTTGGGATGATGAAAATGTTCTGACATTAGATGGTAGTGATGGATTACATCTCTAATATACTAAAATCCATTGAGTGTATATTTTAGAAGGGTCAATTTTGTGGTATGTTATCTCACATTTTATTTTTATTTTTTAATTCTCACCTGAGGATATGCTTATTGTTAGAAAGAGAAGGGACAGAGGGAGATGGAGATACACATCAATGTGAGCAAGAAACATTGAAACATCCATCGGTTGACTCCCATATGTGCCCTGACCAGGGATCAAACCTGAAACCTAGGTATGTGCCTTGACCAGGAATCAAAACCCGCAAACTTTAGATATACAGGACAACACTCCAACTAACTGACCCAGCCACCCACAGCTATATCTCAATTTTAATTTTTTTAAATACTAATTTTTTTTATTTTAAAAGATTTTATGTATTTATTTTTAGAGAGAAGTAAAGGGAAGAAGAGAGGGAAACATTAATGTGTGACTGTCTCTCATGCACCCCCTAACTGGGGACCTGGGCTGCAACCCAGGGCATGTGCCCTGACTGGGAATCAAAGCAGCAACCCCTGCCAGTTCGCAGGCTGGCTGGCACTCAAACCACTGAGCCACACCAGCCAGAGCTATATCTCAACTTTTAAAAAGCACTTAGAGCTCAGAAAATGTAGCTCTCATTACTACATCCTTCAACTTTAAAGAGTCTGTTGTCAAATGGAAGACACCATATGAACATATTTTAAAATGCTCAACACCTAGACAAGGGCCAGGCAGCACAGTCCTGTCATCCTAGGATGACTGTCACAGAGTCATGCTCAGTGCACACAGACAGGAATGAGTGACCAACATGCAGGAACCGCTCCTGGCCACAGTGACTGAGAGTGTCCCAATTAATCTGCACAGAGGTACTAAACCCACAGCCATGGAGGAGAGAATAACCACAGGTACACATGGTAGCACCTGGGCTGAAAGTAGGAAGATTTGGGTGGTTGAGTGGTTGGGTGGTCGGAGGATTTGGGTGGCACCAAGCAGGGTTGGCAGGAAGGGAGGACGCTGAGCAGGGGTAAAACACTCATCCTAGCACTCCATGGCTCAAAGCAGAGTCTGGTAGTTGCTTTACTTCAGTTGACCAATAGCTGGGAAAAGCTTGTAGCAGCTCTGACCTCTGCCATCCCAGAAGCCCCGGGTTTTTCTGAGGTGTCCTGAACCTGAGGTTCAGGCTACTCTGGGCACCAGTTTCTGCTTCTAAGACCCAGGCCTGGGTTCCTCTCTGGGTGCCACCCCCCCAGGTACCAGGCTTCCAGAGGAGAGAATGTATGATGAGATCAGCAAACCTGGTTCAGGGCCATCCCCCAGTGTCAAATGGCCAGACATGCTTATAGTGTGGCATAGAATGGACAGACACATCCACCCCTCAGAGTCTAGGCTCTTCCTCCAGCCCTGAAGGAACAGGGAGGTGACTCTCAGATGCCGGCCTAAGCCTACAGACCTGCAAGTGAGGCCCATACACTTCTCTTTCAACCTTTCCCTCCTGCCTCCGCCCTCTGTCCTGTGTAATTCCTAACCCTCTGGGAGGAAGCCAAACAAAAGAGAACTCCTTGGAAAAAAGAAAGGCACCTGCTTTGTGCATGTTCACATATGTGCACACACGTGTGCTTATACATGTCCACACTGCCACAGAGCACATAACATAATAACTAGATACAGGGAAGAGAAAGGGAACTAGACATGCTAGCATCTTGCCTCCTCTGGGCCAGGCAGTCACCAAGGGATTTGCATGCATTGTCTAATTTAATCCTTAAGAGAACCCTGTGAGCCCTGACTAGTGTAGCTCGGTGGGTTGGGCATCAGGCATCATCCCACAGGCCTCCGACTAAAAGTCCCCAGTCCGATTCTCAGTTGGGGCACATGCCTGGGTTGTGGACCACGTCCCCGATCGGGGGGGGGGGACGTGTGAGAGACAACGGATCAGTGTTTCTCTCCCTCTCCAAAAATACACTTTAAAAATCTTTTAATAGAAAAAAAAATCTTTTAATAGGAACTAGTATAAAGGACACATGGACAACAACTAAGGGGGGGTGGAAATGGGAGGGAGGTGGGGAGCACTGGGGGGGTGGGCTGGGATGGGAGTAAAAAACAGAAAACTGTATTTGAACAATAATTAAATAAATTTTTAAAAAATCTTTTTTAAAAAGGTCCTGTGAGATTTCACAGATGAAAAAAATGAGCTTCCGAGAACTTAAGGAACTTAGCCAATGGGACATCCAGAAGGTAAGAGCCATGAAGCTGAGCACAGTGCCTGGCAAGAGCCCCAGAAGCAGTCCTGTGGAGGCAGCTAAGCAGAGCAGGGTTGTGTGCTGTTTCTGCCCACCCCCTGGCATTGGCTCCTTTGGGGAACCCTTTACTCCCACATTGTTCCACGTGGCTCCAGGGCTGTCTGCCCTGGGCTGGGGCAAACTCCTGACCTAGACCTGTCCAATCAGCAATGGGGATGAATTGGGACCCAACAAGAGGCAAGCTTGGGACATTGCTAGAGCCCTGGGAGAGCCAAGCTGAGCGACACAGAGGATACTGGGCCCAGAGATGCAAGCCAGTGTCCCAGCACCATTGCTGAGCACTTGACCAGCCAGGCTCTTAGCCTTTACAATTATATGAGTTAAGTAACTAGTCTTTGAACACAGGTCTGACTGCAGAGCTCACAGTTTCCCTAGAGGCTCTGGTAGCTTAAGGGTTGGGACAGAGCTGGGGATGGGGCCTCACCTCCCTCACAGAATCCTGGGGCGGGCGGGGTGGTGGTGGTGGTGGAGGGGGACGCTCTTGGCCTCCTCCTAAAGCAGCTCCATCACTCAGTTTAACCTTCAAAGTTGGCATCTGCTTGCAAGAATTTGTGTCCTCTGGGAATTCAGCCTCCAGATGTCAGATCCCAGGCAGCAGCAGTGGCTGCACATGGCTCTCCCCAGAGTGAATCAGCCACATTCCAAAGGTGCAAACACAGACACCACGCCCTCGGCAGCCTGGGGCTACAGACTTCCTCCCCAGGCCCGCCCAGCCCCCATTCCTGCTCCCCTCCCCTCTCCCCTCTTCCCAGCCAGACCAGGCTTTGGGCTTCCTTTCCTGAGACATTCTCCTGGAACTGAAACAAGAGAAAATGAAAGCCATTGGAGCCAGGAGACACCCTGATCCACTCTGCTCATTCCCGCCCCTGCAGCAAGCCCAGACCCTGGCCCAGACCTCCCCCAGTAAACAGCATATACAGGACAGGGCAGAAATGGATTTACAGTTGTTTATGTAGAAAATAATACACTGATTAATAAATAACAACACAAGAGTAAACTCTATGTTTCTTGTACTCACAACCATAAACCTACTTTTTCCTTACCCTGCATGGGTTCATTCACTTAACAGGTATTTGTTGAGCACCTACTGTGGGCAAACCAGATACGGACAAAACCCTGACCTCGTGGAACCCAGTGAGAGTCACAAAATCATATGCATGGACAGAAAATGATTCCAAGTTTGTGAAGTGCTAAAGAGGAAAAAAAGAAGGAAGGGCTGAGGCTGATGGGAAGTCACAAAAAGACGGTTACGAGGTAAGGGGCCACTCTCAGAGGTAGCACATGCTGGGGCCTAAAGGATGGATCAAAGCCTCCTCTACCCCAAGTCACTTGTCTGCAATCGTTTCATGAGTACTATGGCAATGTAACCGCAAAGAATCTTCCCCAGTCACTCGGCAAGTTCTTGAGTCCACTTCCTGATGCTTTCTGTCAGCATTAATGCAGGGAAGTCTGGCTAATATTTTTTCAGTAAGAGCTTTATTGAGATATAATTCACATACCACACAACTTACCATTTTAAACTATACAATTCGATGTTTTTAGTATGTTCACCATGTTGTGCAACCATCACCACAATCAATTTTAGAACAGCCGTATTTCTTCCAAAAGAAAACCTGCCGCCACTAACAGTTATTCTCCAATCCCTGCGCCCCGGCCCCTAGCAACCAGTATTCTAGTTTCCATCTCTATTGACCTGCTGATTCTGGACATCTCATATAAATGGAACCATACAGTATGTGGCCTTTTCTGCCTGGCATCTTCACTCGGCATGTTTTCAAGCTGTGTCCATGTCGTACCCTGTGTCAGACCTTCATTCCTGCCTGGCCGGGCAGTTCAAGTGGTTAGACAGTCATCCCGATACTCCATGGCCGCATGTTCAATCCCTAGTCGGGGCACATAAAATAATCAACCAATGAATGCATAAATAAGTGGAACAACAAATAGATGTTTCTCTCTCTCCCTAAAATAAAATTTTTTTAAGATTTTATTTATTTATTTTTAGAAAGAGGGCAAGGGAGGGAGAAAGAGAGAGAAACATCAGTGTGGAGTTCCTCTCAAGTGGCCTCCACTGGGGACCTGACCTGCAACCCAGGCTTGTGCCCTGGCTGGGAATCGAACCAGCAACCCTTTGGTCCTAAAATCAATTTTTAAAAGGAAAAGAACTTCATTCCTTTTCAAGGCTGAATAAATATTCCATTGTATGTCTAGACCACATTTTATTTATCCATTCATCAGTTTATGAACATTTGGGTCGTTTCCTCCTTTTGGCTATTGTGAATAATGCTGACATTAACACCGATGTACATGTATAAGTTTTTGCCTGGACACATATTTTCAAATCTCATGGGTATATACCTAGGAGTGGAAGTGCTGGGTGATTCTATGTTGAGGAAATGCCAAACTATTTCAAAACAGCTGCACCACTTGACATTGCCACCAGGAGTGTGTGAGGGTTCCCACTCCTCTGTATTTTCCCACTACTTATTACTGTCTCTCTTTTTTCGTTATAGTCATCCTTGTGGGTGTAAAGCAGTATTTCGATGTGGTTTTGATTTGTATTCCCTAATAAAGCCTGTCCTCAGCCTGGCCATGAATGGTGGTGCCCATTCCTTCCAAGCTAGCACAGCCATTGTCCCCATCCACTGAAGATTCCAATGCCTTCAAACCCTATGCCAGATTCTGCTGTGATCCACTTCCTCCTTCACTAAGGTCGAAACCACTTCAGTCCAATTTAGCCAACGCTCACCGCCCGAAGCCTCCTGGTACAAGGAACAGCAAGATAGGGAGTCCTCCTCTGTGTCCCAAGGGCAGATAGTGAGGAAGAGGGGCCGTGGGCGAGTACTGACAAGAGTTTCCATACATCTCTTCCTATCAGTGTCCTCACCAAAATGTGCTCTCTGAAGGCACAGCTTCCTCTGTTCATTTACTGCTATATCCTTAGGTAGTAGGCAGGCCATAAATATTTGTTGAATAAATGAACAGAAGATAAAGAGAACTCAGCAGAGGAGGTGGGGGTGAGATGTTAGTGGTTAGAAGCTCAGACTCTGGAATGAAATGATTTTACTAGAATAATTCTACCTCTGCTACTCTATAGCTGTGTGGTGTTGGGTGAATCACTTGGGTTCTCTGAGCCTCTCTCTCATTATCTACAAAATGGACCTGACAGCAACAATCTACCTGATAAGGCAGTTTTGAGGATTAAATGACATAATACAGATCAGGTAGTATTATGTGCTAAGGGCCCTTAGTGATGAAGTCACGTAGTGTCAGTCTTCACCAGTGCCTCATGAGACAGGCTATCATCACCAGCTTCAACATTATAGAGGAAGCAACAGGGACTCTGAGGACTCAAGGAATCTGTTGGGTCGTGAGGCTGGTTAGGGCAAAATCAGGATCTGAACCAAGACCTGTAACTTCAGGCAGGGGCAGTGTGACCCAATGCCATGTGGCCCCTAACAGACAGAGGAGAGCTGGGCAGTCTCTGAGCAGGCAACAAACTAGTCCAAAGCAATGGGCGTGTACGCCTGGGCTCAGTGTCTAGCTCTGTGCAAAGTGAGCAGGCTGCTAGTAAATTTCAAAACAACAAAAAAAAACCAAACCAAAACAAAAAAAACCCCTCAAACTAGGGACTGAAAGGACTAAGTATGTGTCTGGGTGGTTCAGAGATCCTGGGGCCAGAAGCCTCCTGCACCAGAACGACGAACCCACACCAATTCGGGTGGAGGCTAAGGGGTCAGAAAGGTAAGATGGAGGTAATAGTTTTATCAGGGAAAGCAAAAAGAAGCCGGAAGTTTCCAACAGGGTTGCGGGCACTCTTTTCTCTCTCAGGGTGTACAGCTTCAGGAAGAAGCCACCCAGCTGGACAACCCTAAGTGACATGTGTGGCTGGATTCCCCTCAAATCAAACAGCCTATTTAGAAGAGCCCCAGTCGACTAACCTAGGGAAGACATCAAGCTAGCCCCTTACAAAGTGGGCCTGGCACCCCCCCAAGGCTGGGTGTAAATATTGGGAACTCTCTTGAGTAGAGATGGGAGTTCCCCTCACTTTTGCTCTTCAATTGAGGAAACCTGTCAGGTAAAAGAGGTCCAAAGATGGAAACTTAGGGGACACCTGTTTCAGGGGCCATAGGCAGACCCTGGGGGGCTTCAGGACTTCAGCAGAACCTGGTGTGAAGTGTTGTATGAGGTGAGAGCTCAGGGCAGAGCAAGGAGCTCAGAAGTGAGCTGGTGGTACAGGGTGGCCTGATCCTTGGGGAAACTTGGCAGGAGAGAGACGGAGACAGGGCTATTGCTTGAGACTCCGTCATTTATTTTAAACAGGGGAGAAGCTCAGCTGACAAGTGCTCCAATGGAAAATGCGTTTAAATTGTAGAAAACCATTAGCACACTAGTCCCTTATCTGCCAGAATGCTTCATGCCAGAATGCTTCAAAGGGGTTCCTCACAACTGCCCGGCTAGGAAACCTGGGACAGGGGTTTTCCAGGTCTCGTCAGAGGACCACATGCATCACAAGTCTCTTGAGCTAGTCAAGAATACAGATCCCTGGGCCTTGCCCCAAACTTACTGGTCAGCACGTTGAGTTGGAGAACGCATTAGGGCTTTAAGACTGAAAATATCTCCAGGAAGGCAAGAGGTCCAGAAGGAAGGAGGAAACAGATCAACAAGCAATGTGCAGGATGACTGCTCACCAGCTCTGGCCCACAGGGAGCCTTTATTTTTTTAAAAGACTTTATTTATTATTTTTTTTCTAATAGAGATTTTATTTATTTTTAAAGGGGAAAAGTGAAAGAGAGGGAGAGAAACATCAATGTGTGGTTGCCTCTTGCGCACCCCCAACCGGGAATCCGGCCTGCAACCCAGGCATGTGCCTCGACCAGGAATCGAACCTTGAGGTTCACAGGCCAGCATTCAATCCACTGAACCATACCAGCCAGGGCTATTTATTTATTTTTAGAGAGACAGGGAGAAACAGAGGGAGAGAAACATTGATCAGTTGCCTCTCAGCCCACAACCCAGGCATGTGCCCCAGCCTGGAATCTAACCAGCAGACCCTCACTCTGTGGAGCGATGCCCAACTAAGTTTCAGTCCATGCCCACCAAGGTCATTTGAAGGGATCAGTTCCCATCTCCTGGCATTCTATTCACAAGAGTCTCATGACTCACATGTGCCACCTCAGACCTCTCTCCCTTCATCCTGGCACCCCCAAACTCATGGCCACCCAGTCAGCAGCCACAACTTCAGCTGTGCCCTTAGTTCAAGGCCAGGACCTGTGGGTGGTTCCGGGTGCCCAAGAGGAATCATTCACCCCTTAGGCTCAGGGCCCAAGACCAAAGCCTAAGACTTCATGAAGGGGAAGCCCCTGGCTGAAGAAACTGGCAGGCAGTTGTGAAAGTGCCTCTGGCCCCTCTTACACCAGTCCCATCCTGAGAAGGGACTGACTGATTCTGCACAGATGCCAGTGCCTGGGGATGAGGCCCAGGGATTGCATAGCTGAGAATAGAAAGTGTCTCTCTCCCCTTTGGTCATCATCCCCTCCCCATTCCTATGCCCCACAAAGAAAGAGAGAGAGAGAGAGAGAGTGTGTGTCTGGCAGGGGGTGGGGTGGGAGGGGAGGTCTCCAAGGCACCCAATTTAGCAAACATGTAGTCACATAAAAAGTACATCCCAAAAGACAGAAAACTGTACTTGAACAATTAAAATAAATAAATTAAAAAAAAATTTTTAAAGTACATCCCTTCTGCTGGGGTGAATCCACTCCCTGAGGGACAGGGCTTGGGCTCTGGACTCCAAAGGTTTGCACTTGGATCTTATCTCTCCTACTGCATAGCTGTGGGCTCTCAGGTAAACCACTGTAACCTCTCTGAGCCTCTCTTGTCTACCAAATGGCCTAACAGTACGTTCTCCTGTGGTTCTGTATCATTAGGAGCTCAGACTCACTAGTGTCCTGAGGCTCAAACACAGAGGGCCAGGTCCTACTCCTAACCCTCTCAGGGCCATATTTCACATCACAGCCCAAAGGTCAAGACTAAAAGCTGTGACAGACTGGAAGAGAGGTCTCCATGAGAAACCTACAGGCCCTCAGTGCCTTGGGACCAGATTATAGACAGATCTTCACAGGAGCATAAAAACACCTCCCCCTTCCACAACAGAGAGGCGATGGGCATAACCAGCAGAGCCCTGATCAGCAACTCTGAGGTCCTTTCCATCACATCTGGTCAGTGATCGGAGAACCTGCTTGCCAGCACAGATTTGGGTGGGTTTCACAGGTGTACTTTAATCTCTCCAGGTTCACAGGGGTGTTTGGGTGATTCTGCTTGTCCTACAGTTGCTCCTCGTGGGTGCACAGAGCCTGCCTGGCTGGCAAAGTCTTTGTTACTGTTCCAGAGCACTCAGCCATACCAGGCTTTCCCTGTAACCCACTACCAGAAGCACCCTCTTCCCAGCTCCAGGTCTTCTGCCTTGACCAAACCCATTTGTCTCCTTTCCCAAAGCCACTTGTACCTGCTCCAAAGCCTGGAGGGGTGACAAGTGTTTCCCGGACAACAAAAGCTTGTCCCAGGAGAACGGAGAGAAGACTTCCATCCAGGAAAACTGCTGCTACACCCTTGTTCTGTACACTAATTTTAGGGTTTCGTGGCCCCAATTGCTAGGTATGCATTACAGCACTGTCAGCAAAAAGGACCCTGACAAGTCACCTGTCCTTTCAAGTCACTCACCTCCCCCTCTCTCTAGTATTTTGGGAGGAAAATGAGGAGCAAAGTGGACAACCTATCTTGGTCAAGGTGACCCCACCCTGGGTCTCTTGGGCGTGGTTCAGGGACTGACGTCAGTCTCCTTAGGCCCCAATGCTGTGTGACCTTGGGCAAGTTATTTAACCTCCCTGAGCCCGATTTCCTCTCAGCTAATAGTAGCTCCCAGGTCCAAGTTGTCCTGATGATTAAAAAAACAATATCATAAAGCACCTAGCACTTGGCCTGGTTCAATATGTGAGCCATTATCATTATTCCATTCTTTTCATCCTCTCCTCTCCACTCCAGCCATAGGAGCCTCAGCGCCCGGCTGCTCCTCACATCCCCCACTCGCCAGTTGGTTCCCTGGCTTCCTCCAGGTCTTGACCCAAAAGTCACCTTCCAGAAACCCTTCCCCGCTCTTGTCCTCACCCTGACACACTCATTTGACATACTGGACATTCCAGTGATGCACCCCTCAGACCTCCCTCGCCCTGGCCCGTAAGCCCTTTAAGGCCAGGGCTGCCTCTACATTCCCTACCCTGTGCCCGCGCTTGTCGGAGTGAGTGAAGGATTCCTATCACGTCTGCGGGTGCGCCTAGGAGTCTGACTCAGGGTCCAGACGCCCAACGGGGGCAGGAACAAGAGGGATAGCACACACAGGAGTCCCGAGACCCGGCTGGCTATAGGACCCGGGTTTCCGTGGGCGGCGCCGGGGACAAAGGACTGCCCTACCTGTGCTGGGGGCCCAGGCACCTCCCCGCGGGCGGCTCCGGCGCGCACCCCCGAGGTCACGTCCGGGGCGTGCCAGCCGGAAAGAGGCCCCGCGCGGGACGGGAGGGGCGGGAGGGGCGGGAGGTGTGCAACCAGGCCACGCCCCCCACCGCGAGCCAAAGACTGAGGCGGAGCCAGCCAGGTCCGCCTCACACTTCCGCTCCCCTGGCGGCTCATTCATATTCATATGTGGGTGAGGGGCGAGACCCGGGTCCCCCGGCCCCCCCCCCCGCGCGACGCCCCGCCCCCGGGCCGCTGGTCCCGCCTCAGGGGAGGCTCCGGCTCCAGTGGGGCGCCCCCGGCTTCCGCCTCAGGGAGGGAGTTTCCACTTGGTCACGACTCAGAAATGTGTCGCTCCAGATCCTCCACCCCCTCATCCCTGCCTTGTGTGTGGGGGGTGTCTCTTCCCTGGGAAGGCAGGAGGGGCGGCTTCTCCTTCCTGGGGCAGGTCCGTGGGGATCCGGAGCTGACCACTCCCTTCTCCCCTTCCTCCAAGCTAGCGCCCGTAAATAATCCTCATTTTTAAAAATAATAGCTCTAATTTATTAAGCAATTATTCCGTGCCAGTCACCGTGTCCTTTATGTGAACTTTTAACCATCCCAACAGTCCAACTGAGGCAAAGATAAGTAATATTGTCGTCCAGAAGCTCAGGAAAGTTGTTGACATACCCATCTTGGGCTTTTTTGCAAGGGCTGGACCCCCACCATCTTTCCCGAAATGGGCTTTACCTGGGCACTCCTTGCTGGCTGAGTGTGGGCGAGGGTTGGATCTGAACAGCCCACTGGAGAGAGAAGTTGTACACTGGGGGGAACCAAAGCATGAAGGCAGGACAGGCTGTACCACTGGGTGGACCCAGTGCAAAAGAAAAACAGCAGGGCTCTGTGTTTTAAAAAAAATAATAAAGAATTTCAAGATGGTGCCCTGGCTGGTATAGCTCAGTGGATTCAGCGCAGGCCTGCTAACCAAAGGATCGTGGTTTGATTCCCAGTCGGGGGCACATGCCTGAATTGCAGGCCAGTTCCCAGCACGGGATGCAGGAGAGGCAACCATACATTGATATGGTTGCCTCTCCTTCCCTTCCCCGCCCTCTCGCCTTCCCTTCCCCTCTAAAGATAAATAAAATCTCTTTAAAAATTTCAAGGTGGTGATGGGAGAAATCGATGGGAGAAACTGAGCCTCTAAGCTTGAGCCCTCCTAAGTGCCAGGCTTGTGAGATTGCACAGGTGAATACCATGAAGCTGACCCTGATGAAAGCACACTGGGGCTCTTCTAGGGGCGGAGAAGCTAAAACCCCGTATTCAGTGTCACTATCCTCACACCTCAGCCCAAAGGCTTCACCTCCACACTGACATCCAGGGCTGGCCTCCAGAACTCCAGAAGTGAAGTACTTCAGCACCTCCAGGACCAGTCTTCCTGAGGGTCCAATGAGTCCCACTGGGATAGTGTGTCCCAAACCTGGATGACCCAGCTAGCCCTTGAGGCTGTGCCTCCTGGGCATTCTCAGCCCCGGGCCCTTCAGGTAGGTAGGCACAATCTTAAGTGCCACACCAGGCCCAGAAGGTGCCTCAGTTCTGACTTGAAGCCCTCTTTTCTCACTGGTAAAGGGTGTGAGGAGCAGCCAGGGCTGCTTCCCAGAATAAACACCCCACCCATAGTCTGCCCCAGCCCTGCAGGCACGGCAAGCCAGCAGGCAGGGCAAGCCAGCGCCAAGTGGAGAGACGCTCACCAGGCCGCCAGCTCAAGGTTAATAAGTCATCCTGATCTCACTCCCTCCATCACTCCATCCTTGTGACTGGCCCCACTCACAGTGGGTTGCAGGCTTCCTTAATAATAATAGCTACCATTTGTCGCACTGTTCTTTCTCCCCACGGGCTTGGTGGAAGTCCTCTGTGTACCCTCTCCACTGAGCCTCACACAGCTCCATAACAGGCATGAGGATCATCATTTCACAGATGGAAAGTGGGAAACTGAGGTTCAGAGAGATCCGATGCCTGGGCTAAGTTCAAGGGCCAGGATGCAGGGTCTTTGCCATTCATCTTCCTTGGTTCCTGTCATCTCTCCTATGTCTACAATGTAGATTTGAAGGCTCACTTCTTCATGTTCACTTTCAGCTCCTTGGATAGAGTAAAGGCTCTGGGCTTATACTGCTGAGTTTCCTGCTGGAGCTAGCATTGTGCATAAAACAACTATGTGTGCGAATGAGTGAGCCACTTCCCCTCTGGATATGGACAGACGGGGTATCTCAGTCCCCACTAGACTGAGACATCTCCTTAAAGACATGTGGATGGAGTTGTCTAATCCTGGGCACACAGTAGACCCTCAGTAAATGTTGGATGAACACATAATAACAGCTTAATAGGCATCTGTTGAATGAATGGGAACCTAGAAGATGTTCAATAACTGTTTATTAATGAAAGATTAGGGGACAAGATTCAGTCCCCAAAATATCTATCAGCAATTGTCTTAGCTCAGGCTGCTGTAACAGAATACCATAGACTGTGGGGCTTAACCAACACACATTTACTTCTCACAGTTCTGGAGGCTGGGAAGTCCAAGATCAAAATGCTGGCAGATTTACTTCCTAGTGAGGGCTCTCTTCCTTGCTTGCAGACAGCCACCTTGCTGTGACCTCACGTGGAAGAGACAGAGAAATTCTTTCTTTCTTACTCTTATTAGAGCACTGATCCTACCATGAGCCCTTCTGACTCTCATGCCCTCATTTAAACCTAATTACCTCTTAAAGGCTCCACATGTAAATATAGCTACATTGGGGATTAGAGGTTCAACTAATGAATTTGAATTCAACCAATGAATTCAACTATGAATTTGGGGATGACACAAATAGTCAGTTCATAACAGTAATATTTATGAAACATATACTGTATTCCAGATGCTAGGTAAAAGTCTGCAGGGAGAGTGACAAAGTAGATAATGCCCTTGTATCCTACTCCTTGGGGAATTTAGAATATATCAGGGGAGACAGTCCATAACACATGGGAGGGAGCAGGTAGTAAAGAGTGGGTGCTCAGAGTATGGACTCTGAAGAGAGGACATTCAGCATGATGGTGGGGAAGAAGGACATCTCTCCTCACTCACCTTTCACTAAGGAGGAGGAAGCCAGGCTTGGACTGACTGCTGTAGTAGGTGTTACCTCCTGGAAAAGCCAACCCCCCTAAAATCCTGAAGGCTGGTCCTCTTGGGTGTCCCACAACCCTACTCTGCCAGGTATCTGATGCCCCAGGGACACAGCAGATTATAACACAAGGGTTGGAATCAGACTGAGATTGCAATCTGGACTATGATTCCTCATACTAGCTTCTGAGAACTTGACCAAATTTCTTAACCTCTTGTGCTTCAATTTCCTCTTCTGTAAAATAGCAATAATAATAATAATAGGACCCACTCTCAGGGTTGTTGTGAATATAAAGAAAGTAAAGCATCTGGTGCAGAGAAATACCTGGTCTGGCTGAGAATTGGGAGTTTCTGGTTGGATCACCTCCACCAAGATTATAGCATTCTTTACTCTTGTTGGATTTGCAGGAGCCAATTTAGGGGCTTATTTGCAGCTAAGGGGACACTAGCTGGGTCCTAGAATTGACATGCCTTGGATCAGGCTTGACACTTGCTAGTAATTACTAATATGTATTGAGAATATACCTTATTTAACCTTCACAACAACCTCATAAAGAAGATGCTGTTATTCACCATCCCAACGTGTGAATGCCAAGTCAGATTCCTTACAGCAAATAACCTGCTTGTCTGTGAAAACAAGTGTGTGTGGAAAACTATTAGAAAGGCCCTCAAGAGTGAAGGTCTTTTATGGTCAAGTCCCCTTTATGGTTCAGATATCATTGGATTTTCCTGGTCACTGGATTCAGTTCCTGCTAGACTGTAAGCCCCAGGAGAGCAAGGGCAACTGAGGTTGTCACTCTTTGTTGCACTGTCACACAGTGCCTGGAATCCTGCAAACACTAGGCAAGTATTTTTAACGGATATAAAATTAGCCCCTTGGATACCTTTTTCATACACCTGGATTTCCCTGGGGCTGGAAGAAATTGGCCTTTGCGATAATGCAGGGCAGGGCTGCGCTTCAGCTGAATCGCCACGATCCCGGACGCCGGGAGGGGGCGCTCTGCATCTCTCAGCCTCCGTCCCACCCCACACACCCGTTGGTCAGTGGACTGGGAGAGTTGGCCCTTAACAGCCCCCTCCTGAAGGTGCTAGGTCGCAAAGCTGGCCTTCCCGCGAGGCCCATCTGCCGGCTAATGTTTAACCCAACCTCACTCCACATAATCCACACTACGGAAACCTGGGTGGGGGTGGGGTCACTTCCAAATCACCATCTTCCGGGCCTACCGGCCTTTCACCTATACCCAACAGTTCATGAACCCCTACTCTTTGCCTATTCACGCAGTGTGTCCTTTCACGCAGTGTGACCTGTTGGTCACGATCACCTACTATGTGTCCATTTTCTTAAAAGTGGAATGAACATATATTCTGTGTCCGCCCATTCACGCAAGTCATGAGCACCTACTGTGTCTCCTCTTGCCCCAAATATAATGAACATCTACTGTGTGTCCATGTAACAGTTCACAAGTACCTACTACGTGCCAAACACTATGCCTGGTGCTGGGAATGCTGTCAGCTCGGGCAAGGACACGCCATCAAATACACGAAAGAAGGTGGAATTACGCCAGGAGGCCGATGCCTCACCTATAGAGGATGCTTTTTGTCTGCTGGACTTTTCAAGGCCACCTGCATAAAGGCGGGGTCGGCTAAGAGCAGCAGGGCTCTTTTTAAACCAAGGTTTGCCACCCGGCAGCAGAGCAGCAAGAAGATAACTGGGCGGGGGCTCCAAATTGGCCCAAACAAAACACTCAAGAACGCCAGTCGAGTTTCAGCATCAGGAGGTAAAAACAACTTAGCGAGTGCCGGTTCGGGCTTTCTCACTCACGGGCTACCCACTCATTCCACTTTGTAATCCGCACTGCGCTGGGCGCTGAGGGGCCAGGCACACACTCAAGGACCCCGCGGCACTCCAACTGAGGACGCGGGTTGCCTCAACGGTGGGGACCCTGACGCAGGCTGAGCGGAAGCCCGGACTTTGAAGGAAACTGAGGCCGAGGAAACGGCGGTGGGGGGAGGGGAACAAGCCGGCGTCGGACAGGAGGGAGGCACTAAGCCCGGCCTCGAACCCCAGCGTGAGCCGCCCCGAAGCCGGAGCTGGGGCCTCTGCCCGCGGGTGCTGCCCTCGCGTTCCTGGGACTGGGCTGGGCGGAGAAAGCAGGGCCGGTGGAGAGGCATTCTTGCCGCCCCCTCCCGCCCCCAGTCACCCCGCCGCCCAGAGTTGCGGGGGGCCTAGCCAAGGTGACCCCGCGGGAGGGAGGCAATGGGCCCCGCCTCCTTCTTCATCTTACCGGTTTTCGGGGCTTTTCCTCTGGGCTGCACGCCCTCCCTCGGTCCACTGCGAGCCCACCCCCTCCCCGGGCTTCCCCGAGGGTGGGACGTTCCCCCACCCACCCGCCCCCGCCACCCGGGCCACCTCCGGGCCGTGTCCTAGCGCTGCCCTCGGGCGGGGGGCGGGGCCGCAGGGGGAGACCTGAGGATGGGGCCGAGGAGGACGCCCGCGGCCCGCCAGCTGCCCCGCGCTCCCTCCCCCCTCCCTCCCTCCCTCCGGGTGCCGGCTCCCCGCAGCCTCGCTGCCCTCCGTCCTCCCCTTCGCTGGCCCAGCGCCCGCGTGCGGCCGCCCCCCCCCCCTCACGCCCAGCCTGGCAGCTGGCGCCCCGGGCCTGGGGCCGCCGCGGCGAGAGGGGTTTGCTGGGAGGACGAGAGGGAAGCAGCAGGGGAGGGAGAAGGGAGGGCGGATGCCCCCCGCGCCCCTCCTCCTCCCCTCCTCCTCAGTCCGCCGGCCCCTCCTCTCACCGCCTCCCTCCGCCCTCCTCCCTCCCTCTGTAAGACATCCCGGCCCGGCCCGGCCGCCGCGGCCACCTTCCCCGCCGGAGCTGCAGATGTGGCGGAGCGGCCGGGTGCCGGGCGGCCGTGCCAGGGGAACCCGCGCCCTGTGAGCCTCACGCCCCGGCCCCCCGCCCGCCCCGGCCCCTCCCCCGCTCACTCCCCGCAGCCCCCAGACCGCCGGAGCCCGCAGTGGGGAGCCCGACCGCCCCCGCCGCCGAGGTAGGAAGCCCCTGGGCGTCGCGTCGTGGGGACCCGGACTGGGCAGGGGGGCTGGCCTGTTGCGCGGGGTCTGCGGAGCTCGAGGGTCGCCTACCCCTACCGCGTCCCCGCCTCGCCCCGGGCCATTGTGAGCCCTCGCCGGGCCCCCTGCGCGCTCGCTCCCTCGCTCTCTGGCTTGCGCGCTCCCTCCCTCGCCGGCTTCTCGGCCCTTTCCCTCGGTCTCTCTGCCTTTCTCCTCCCCCCTGCCCTTCCTCCGTCCCGAGGCCGGGCCCTCCCGCGGCCGGGCCCGGGGCGGGAGCAAACTTCGGCGGGGAAGTTGGGCTGCTGCAGTGGGGGCGTGCTGCGGGGTGAGAGGGGGTCCCCGGAGCCAGGGTAAGAAGTTGTCTGGGGCTGCGGGGCAGCTTCCTCCTTCACACGGCTGAGCCTGGGGTCTTTCTAAAACGGGGTTTGAAAGGTGTCTCTTCCCTTGTCCCTGAAAGTCTTCCCCACCCCCTCACCCCCGCCCCTGCTGTCCCTGGATAGAAAGGCTGGGGAGGGAGGCGTCCTGAGGTTCAGGACGGGGGTGCTGCCGCGTTTGGACTGGGAGCTAGAGTCCTGTCCAGCACTTGTTCCTTCCCTGCAGTGTGCAAGCAGAGAACCTGGCAGAGTGGGGAGGGCAGGGGTACCCAACTCGCCTGAGGAAAGGTCTGGAGGGGGCGAGGCAGGTGCATCTGGAAGGAGGGAAATGCCTATGCCTTGCTTCCCCAGCCTGTCCCCCCTGGATGGGGCTGGAATCTAGGCTGGCACCTGGAGACCTTGGCACACTGCCCTACCCAGCCGGGTACTCGGGCCACAGCAGGGCAGCATGCTGCTTGTCCCCTGTCCAGGAGGGCCTGCCTAGCCTGGCCGCCAGAGACAGCAATGGTTGCAGGGAGCTAGCTATCCGGCCCTGCCCTGGGGCCTGGGAAGTGGGAAGGGATCCTGGGAGGAGCCCTGGGCCCCCAGCCATTTCAGCCCAGTATCTTGGCTCTGAAGGGAATGCTTGACACTCAAGGGGCAGCCAGGCCTGCCCAGGACCTGGCCAAGGCTTGGGCTCCCGTGGTTCTTGGTCTGGGCCAGGGACAGGATCAGAGCTGTGGTCATGGGAGGCAGCCATCCTGAGGGTCCTACGCGCCTGGTCCTGGCATCCTGGAGGGATGGTGGGGCTTAGCAGGCAGCTAAGGAAGACACTCTTCTCCCCAGCGTCTCCTCCAGGACCTTTCTCACCCCCCAGGCACAGGGAAGGGGAAACTGGCTCCTTCAGTCTGCCCACTCGCCCAGCCCTCCCCCAGCCTCACGCTGGTGCCACAGTGCCACAGCGCCACAGCTGTTCCAGCCCGGCCCATACATCCCTCCTCATGACCTCGGAGCCTACCCCCTCTCCGCTCCTCCTTCTCCCCTCTGGGCCACAGCTGGGCCTCCCAGCTGGCCCTGGCCAGTATTGGGGGAGGGGCTGCACCTGGGGGCCCCTTCCAGGACACCCCTTTCCGAGCTTCGGCCCAGCCCATTACCAACTCCACTTGGCCCTCCCTGTAGTCCACCAAGCAGGAGACAGTACCAGAGGTTCGGGGCACCATTTATGGGGGTTGGGGACCCTTTGGAAACAGCTCTGTTTTCCTCAGCCCCTTCCCTTCCCCCTCCTTTCCGGAGCTGCCATTAGAACTGACCCTCTGACCGCCCCCCCACGCCTGCCCACCATTCCCTGTCTGTGACCTTTGACCTTCGGTGTTAAATCCCTCCAGCTGGGGATTTTCGGCCCCTGAGTGACCCTGGTGCAGGCCCCCTGGGGGGGGCCTCTCCCTGCTCCTGGCTCTCTACATAGGAACACCTGCCAGTTCCTCGATCACTGATGGGGGGGGTGCCCCAGAAAGCCAGACAGTGAGTCACCCCACTTCCAGGCACCACTGCTTTTGGGGTCACTGGCTTTGGGGGATATGCTGGAGTTGGGCCACAACCTGGAGGGTGAGTAGGAAAAGCCCCCACCTAAGAGTCTGATGTCCTGGAATTACTCCCGGGTGGCCACCAACTCCCAGGGGTCCTTGGACCAGGCTCCTCCCTTTTCTGGGTCTCAGTTTCTTTATCCGTCAAATCAAGGGGTCAGACAAGGTGAGATTCCTGAGCTTCAGAGTCCATGAGAAGACTTGGGGTGGGGGTGTTGGGAGGGGGTAAGGCCAACAAAAGCTAACTCTCAATTGTCCATGGGTGGAGCCAGTATGAATAACTAGATGCCACAGACATCCAAAAACCTCATTTTAAACAATCCTGTGAACCACGGTCTCCCCCCCCCCCCCAAAGCTTTTGTTGTTTCTAAAAGCCCAGATGCAAATGGGTAGCCAGGCCATGTCCTCCCCTGCCTGGGCTGCCCTGGCTGCCTCACTGGGAGTGCCCGTGGAGGGCGAGAGGGTGAACTGATCCCAAGGAGACAGAGCTCTCCAGGGCCCCTCCTGGGACCTGGTATAGGGAGGCCTAGACCCCTCTCAGCCCCACCATGGGGCCCCCGCTTTTCTCTCCTCTCCTCTCCTGGCCTCGGCCCTAGGCAATAGGAGTGTCTTCTGCCACCTAATCCTCCCAGGGTCTGAGCTGGGGTGTAGAGGGAAGAATGTATTTTCCTGATATTTTCCCACGTGGGTTTCCATCTGCCCCAACTGGCTTGGAATCTAAATTTCCCACTTGGGTGGGGACGGGTGCTGGGCAGTTTGGGGCAGTTCCGGGATGAGGGAGGGTGCTGAAAGCTGGGGCCAGGTGACCAGATTTGGAGAGCGTGGTCTAGGAGCTATTGGGCCCTTCGGGCGGTGTTTGGGGCGGGGCAGGTGGGGAAGATTGCTGCTCCCACCTCTCCCCACCAGTGGGGGACGCCTCCTAGCTCCCCCTGTCCCAGGGCGTCAAGCTGAAGAGGCCCCTTACCCAAGGGGGAAAGTCGGAATGTAGTAGAAAGGCCTGAGCTCAGTGGAATGGGAGGGTGGGTGTGGGGGCTGCCTTTTCTGAGGCTAGGAGAAGTCTTTCTCTGTTAAGGGTTTTTACTGTCATTGTGTATTCCATCCAAATGACTAAGGCCGGAAGGGTGACCCCCTGGAAGTTACTGGGTGATCCTTTCTTTACCCAGACAAGTGCCCTTCTCACAGGTGGGGAGCATCACTGGCTAGCGAGGGGGCTCTCTGGGGCCAACCAGAAAGATGTGGCTTCTTGCCCACCACCCTGCTGGAGTTGCTTTCCTGTCCAGGGCCTGTGAAATGGCCCTAAGAAAGAGGCTGAGGCCCAGATGTGTGTCTGAGGGTTCACCTCTCTGACAATACCAGCACACCCAGCCTTCTGCTAGCCCTGGGTGTGGGGGACCACAGCTCCTTCAAGGCCCTTGGAACACACGTGCCCAGGGTTTCCCAGGTGGATGCCTCAGCCTCACCCTGGAGAATGCTAATTTGAGTATGACCAGGCAGGGACTCCCATTGTCAACCAGGACCGCTAGTGCTTTATTGATTAGCCAGGGCTGGGGCAGTTGCTTAGATGCTGGGACGTAGAAGGGCTTGCTGGGGGAGTGGGGGGTCTCATGCAGGGGTATGGCCTGGAGTAGACCCAGTTTTCTCTCCTGGCCCCCACAATAGCCCTGTAACCCTCTGCTGTCTCTAAACAAATAAAAATGCCATCTCAGGTCCTCACAAAGAGGGCAGGGGGTGAAGCTGGTCAGGAATAGAGCAGCAGGGTGGGAACGCCTGCTAACAACTCCTGGAAAAAAATCAACAATGCCTTCCAATGGCCCCTTGGACTTTGTAGGCATTAACATTTGTCGCTTGAAATGATTACCTTAACCTTGTGAGAGAGATCCATAGATCTCTATTAGACAAATGAGGAAATTGAAGCTCAGGATGGAAAAGGGCCTGCTGTAGGTGGCGTGGTGGCGTTCGATGGCCAGTTTCCCAGCCTGGGTTGGCCTCGGCAGCTGTGCACACCGGGCCCTGAACATCCGTCCTTTCCCTGGGCTGGTCCTCCTGGCCTCCGCCCCAGACCTGTCCACGTGGGAGGCAAGGCCTAGCCCAGGTTTGCAGGGGTCCCTGGCCCTTTTTTCCCTTGTAGGGAACCTCTGGGAGCTTCCATGCGGCTCGTCCCCAGGGAGCTCCAGAAGTGTGACTGTCCTGCCTGGGATGTCTCTCCAAGCTCCCTCAGGCTGGGCAGTGGAGGTCCTGGATCTGAGCATCTTGACGGGGAGAGCTCTGGCCTTCTGCGCCCCCTCCCAGATGAGGTAGATGGTTCTGGTTAACTAGTGGCCAGCCTAGGGGGGGGCCTGGGGGAGCACAGAGATGGGAAATTATTCTAATGGGGGAGCTTCCTATCTTTTCCAGATGCCCCTGGTGGGGGACGGGAAGGGGCTAAGACTCTTCCAGGCCATGACTGGGGTTGGCTGGTGTCTCCTCAGGCCCTTTGTCTGCACTGCCTGAGAAACCAAGCAGTACCTGCCACAGGAGGGTGCTGGACGTTCCAGTGTGACTTTTTTGCACATGTACTCCTGCCTTGGCAGATGGCTGCCTGGGAAGGGGGCTCAGACTCAGCCTCCCGCCCCCTCCTCCAGTCGTGGCCAGGAGAGGGTGGGGAGACTTCACAAGCCCCAGGGGGTTGCTGAGCTGCCCGAGTCAGCACTGGGCACCTCTGGGAAAACAGTCCTGTGGCTGACAGAGGGTCTCCACAATTTGCATAATGCACCCACTGGCCAGTGCCCCACTGGGACTCTGGGAGTAAGGATGCGGCCTGTGGGCTCTAGTGGGAGGAGACTGAAGTTCAGATTGGAGGGGTTTGCTGTGGGGTCACTTAGGATCAGGGAAGGAGTGGGACTGGAGGCTAGGGCTATCTGATCTTTGTGCCTGAATGTCAGTTCAGTCCAGGAATCCCCCCAGCTCCACTCCTCCCCACCCCACCCCCACCCACGGCTGGGGCATGGCGCGGGGGACAACCGTGTCTGGAGAAAGCCTCCTTCCTTACCCACATGTGCTCCT